AATAATCTGAACGAGGTTATACTATGTGAGATTGGCGATTCAAGTTTCTAGCGGTACAGTGGATTTGGCATTCGGAGACGCAAGAGAGATCTGAATGGTTTAGTAATTTTAGGCTTTGATACCTTTTGTTGTTGCAGCAGATTTCAGTCAGTTATAGCACATTGTTTTTAATATCAAACTTGTATCTAACAACCTTAGTTGAGTATGCTATTTGTGAAAAAACGTTTTTATTTCTGTATTTGGTTTAAGTTCTCAAAATCACTTTGTGGTTTTGTTAGTTTCAAGAATGTATATTATACTCTGATTAAGATTGAATGAAATTTCTATTTAGTTTTGCTCATGCTTTTTACATTTATGGGTTTTTGTTAAAGAAAGCAAAAAAGGGTGGCTTAAAAAATAGCAAAAAATGATAATTAAAAAAAGTAAAAAATTGCTGTAAAAGAGCAAAAAAAGTCATATTTTACAACAAAATAGTAAAAATTTACCATAATTTACAATTAAAATTGCCATAATGTATTAAAAAACTTGCAGTAATTTATACCAAAAAAATCACAATTTACATCAAAACTGGCATAATTTACATGAAAATCGTCATAATTTGCAATAAAAACCGTCGTAATTTATAACAAAAAATTAACTAAAAAAAGAGTGGTTAAAAATTGCTATAATTGAACCACTGTAATTTACAACAGTTGAACCACCGTAATTTACAGCAATGGAACCACCATAATTAAATCTCGTAAATTACGGTAGTTCAATCACTGTAATTTAACCACTATAAATTACGGCAGTTTGAACCACCGTAATTAAATTACCATAAATTATGACTGTTCAACCGCCATGATTTAACAATCATAATTTATCAATGTAAATTACAATGGTTAACGCGGTGGTTAATTTTTAACCACCATATTATACTTAACGATGGACGAGATTTCGGTGATTTTATTTACCACCATAGCCGTAAAAGACAGCGATTCTTAACTGCTCTTTTTTTCACTTTCAACGGTTGTTTTTTCCTTTTCTTGTAGTGATCTAGGACTTCTCACGTTTGATTTTCCTGCAATTTACACAGACATTCATTTATTAATTTTCTGAAAGAACATAAGCCTTCTTTTTACATGGAAAACATGTGATATTTGGCTATTATCAGTTGAATTTAATTGTCACATGGGGGTGGTTATATTTTCTACATGGAGAAAAATCTTAAGGAATTATAAAAGGAAGTGGAAACGTAGAACTTTGATTTGTTTCGTATTTCTAGTAAAGTAAGTCGGGTTTGCTGGTGATTCAAATTGTTCCATGCAGATGATGCTGTCGGTGCTTATGAATTTGAAGCAATTTAAATTGCGACTGGATCTCCCATAAATCAGAAGAAAGATCTTGAATGGAAAGGTGATGTTGCGACTTGATCTCCCATATTTTTCTGGATAATTTTTTAAGGCATTCTAAAGGAGCTAAACTAAACTCGACTCAACTCATTTACAAATAATTAAGCCTTGTTTTTAACGTTTTAGAGGCCTTTTAAAAGTAATGAACATATGTATACAGAAAAGTTGCATTACATAACTCTACACGCAACTCAACTACACATAATTATACTCTCTCTTCAATTATAAGGGCCATTCTCTTTTAGCCTTAAGAATACATATTTTTAAAACTAAAATGTCCTTTTAGGACATAATATTTTAAAGACAATTGAGATATGATTTTTTATTATATATTTTTTAGGTATATTTCTAAAATTATTTTATTTTATATATTATTTTGAGGTAAGAGTTTAAAAAATTTAAAATGTTGGATGATGAAATGAGAAAGAGAATAAATTAAGCAATCTACTAAGGGATTGAATTGATGAAATTAAATATATTATATATACATTTAATATAATCGGACATAACATATATATAATAATATGATATAATATGTTATATATTATATTTTAGTATATAATATTTATATTATATATATGAGAGAATATACAATAATATAATCGAATATAACATGTATTTTTTTAATACAAATAAAGTAATTTGTTTTAGAAATTGATCATAGCCTAAACACTGAGGGAAGTTGTAGAAACAATTCTTTAATTTTTAAAGTATATACATTTAAAATAGTTTCAGAAATATAGTTCAAAAGGATAATATTTCTGAAATTTTAAATTCAGAAATTCAAATATATATTTTGAGATGATAAAATAACAGTCCATAAGTATGTTAAAAAATCTTCATCTCTCTTCAATAGTATCATTGGCTTAATCCTCTGTGAAGCCACCATTTGTATCAGCATCTTTATCAATTGGAGCTTCCTCATTACTGCATGGCTGGGATGGGCCCTCATCCTTGCTTTTGCCCCATGCGACTAGGTAAAGTCCAACAACAATGACTCCTGCCCCGAGAATTATAAAGCTGTTCGAGTGAAAGCAAAACAATAAAAAAGTTACTTTTAGAATAAATTATTATAAACTACTTTGTTTCAAAATCAAAACAATATGAAATAAAGTTTTCAAGATTTGGTGTGTTTCTACTTTAGAAATCACAGAAGGAAAAAAAAAATCCTCAGAGAAAACAGAAAAAATTTACCCTCCCATGAAAATTTGCTCGGCCAAAATGAAGGAGCTCAGTATGGCGACTACAACCAATTCTAGAGGACTGAAAGCAGCCTAGAAGACACGACCCCTTTCCTTTATGACCACTCCTGAAATGTAAAAACCAACCCAGAGCAGATGATCCCCTGCAGCCAAGTACCATACATAAGCATAAAATCTCAAATCTTTTAACCCTACGGATTTGGAATTGGATTTAAAATTTTATAGATTTCAAATCGAAATCCTATTTTAGTATTTGGCAAAAAATAAAATTTGGCATTTACAAGTTACATTTGGTATTTGGATAAAAATGAGATTTAGAATTACATATGATCTTTTACTATTTTATCCTTGAGAATAATTATTTTCATAGAAGATTTACTGGATATGCAATAATTCCAATATCTCATGTGTATAATTACTAGCAGAGAAGAGTGACTACAAGTTGAGGATGTTGGATGAAAATCTAAGTAAATCAAAAAAATTATAAATCTAAATATATTAAAGAAAATAATATATATGTATATAAATAGAGAGAGAGATAGAATGAATCAATTTATACCAAATCTTACACTGTTAATTTAATCAAAATCAATAAATTAAATTAATTAATATTTTAGAAAGAAAGATAACTATAAATTAATATAATAGAAAATAATTGTGATTAATTTTATCCATTAAATTTGAAGTAATTAATTGTGTAACATTTGATACAAATTTTTTACATTTACACAGAATTCTCTTGACATCGTTATCTATTTTATTTTTTTCATGTTAATAAAAAAAAATTAAGAGCTTAAGTTGGAAAAATAATTTAAAAATTTTTAGCAATTATTTTAAAATCTAAATCTCATAAAATATCGTCAAATCCTATTAATTTTGATGGGATTTCATTGGACTTCAAAAAACTAAGTGAAATTTTGTCAAATTCTATATAATTCAAATCTCATTTTAAAAAAAAAATTTATCCAAACAATAAAATTAGATTTTGAAATATAACTGTCATCAAATCCCGGCTTGCCAAACTGAAGGTAAATAAATATTTCAATCGAAATTTAAAGAATTATTTACCCCTTATAGTACAGCCAGGGTTTGCTATCCCAGCCTAAGGACCAGACTCCCAAGTTTCCCCTCTCAACAACGAATGTCGCTACAACGCCTTGAAGTGCACCAGCCATGCATACCAGCGTCGTGAGGGATAGCTGAGCTGGATATGATTTCAATATAATTGTTTATAAAGATCAAACCATTATCCCATCAATTAACAAATAATCATCCACTAAGTTATGATATGCTAGAGAAGAGAGAGAGAGAGAGAGAGAGAGAGAGAGAGAAAGAGAGAGATTAATGAATACTTGGAATTTTGGCCCCTTTGGATTCATTTTTTTAGACCTTTTTTTTTAATGGAAGAATTTTCAGGAAACATTTGAATTGTATTCTGCCTTTTGTTTTATGTTTCTTTAATGCCATTTTCATGTTCAAGTAAAAAGTTAAACAAAAAATGTTGGAGAATTTTAAAAATAATTTTTGATTGTCATGCAAAAATGTGCTTGTTTTCAAAAAATTTTCCTGGAGATAGTTTTCAAAAATATAAATTGGTTTCATAAGCAGATTCAAAATGTCTAATTTTTCACAAAGCACATGTAATTGGATACTAGAAACTTTGCATATTTGTATATATAAAGGTAGAAATACACATACAAAATGATAATACTTGGAGGATAAAGAAGACGGCCCAACAAAGACAACCAGCGGTGATCATGGCGGAGCCCTTGACAAGGTTTTGTTGAGTTGCAGAGGCACTCGCAGTTTCAGCTTCATGCCTTGTCCCATCGTTCCATGGCAATCCAACGGCTGCTCCTTTGATGAATGTCATCATCATGGCGCCTCCAACAGTCACCACTGTTCCAACTACTTTGGCTTGACTTCTCAGGTTACTCGTATTAACATTCTCCAACCTATATATACATATTAAAAACCCGCACAGCATGTTTTATTAGTGTCATTCTCTACCAATTTACGAATAGAAAGTGCCAGCTGATTTTTCAAACGCACCAAATTAAGGACAAGTTTATCCTGCATTCAGTTTTAAAAATATAAGAAAAGTTAAAATAAACTTATTTAGTACTCTTAAAATAATGTCAAAAAGAAAAGGGAACGAGAGGAGTACGTGCATTAAAGTTCTGTTATGTATTTAACCTACCTGACTATCCACGCCGTGACAAAAGTTAAGGCAGGAACAACATTCGACATGGCTGTAGTAAAAGTGGCTGCTGCACACTTCACACCAACATAATACAAGTTCTGGCGTACAACAGGCCTGTCCGGTGATTTAGACATAGAATCTTTGTTAGAGACAATGATTTAGTATTTAATCACTAATTAATTAGTTGCTTTTGGGATAACGTAATTACTCCAGCAAGCCCAGAAACATTATTTTGGAGAACATGGAGACAGTCATCTGTGGCTTCACATTCCTGTACGTTAAGCAGAGATACCATAAATTTCTAACATTCGTAACGAGAGAGAAAAAAAGAAAGTAGACAGAAGCATACTTTTCGAAGATTATGGCGAACGGGGCAAAGACAATAGCGGCGATGACATTGCGGTAGACGTTGAAAGTGTAAGGGCTCACACCCTGGTCCAGAGCAAACTTGACAATAATGGATAGCTCAGCATAGCCTAACTGGAAGAAAATCACAGCAAAATATGGCTCAACCTTATTATACAAAGCCATTGACATCTCTCTCTCTCTCTCTCTCTCTCTCTCTCTCTCTCTCTCTACGCAATTCTGTGTGTAGCTTTTGGGAGGGCAGGAACTGGTTTGAGAGAAGCTTGTGATGGGATATAAGAGCTGCCTGTATATCATTACATGCAGGAATTTATTTCGGAGAGAGAGAGGGGAAGCAGAAAAGCCGTTCATGGCGAGTCTTTGACTCCTTTTTAACTAGAAAAACTAAAGATTTTGGAAAGAGTTCATGGCAAGTCTATGACTCCGTTAACAGAACTCCTGCAGAGTTTTGCAGTTGATGCACGGTAGGACTTTTTCCACGTATGAGGAGGTTGGAATTGGCTAATTCAGTCAACGGTACGTCTTGATAATTGATAGCCTCATTCATCAGTTGAATTAGAGCAATCAGGGGAAGCCAAGATATCAACTTGGTGGAGCTTATCCTGAATGTAGGCAGAATCTTTGTCCATTTATTTTACAAAGAGAATAGATCAGTTGATATTGATATAAGTGTAAAAAAATTTATATTAAATTTTATATCATTGATTTAGTCAAAATTAACAGATAAAATTAACTAACTATAAATTAATTATTAAAAATTATTAAAAGACATCTGTAATTAATCTCATCCGTTAATTTTGATAATTAATTACTAAAAATTATTGGAAGACATCTATAATTAATCTCATTCGTTAATTTTGACAAATCAACAGTGTAAGATTTGGTGTAAATGTTTTACGCTTACACTTTGTAACATTCAAAAACTCTTTTCCTTAAAAAAAAAATCATAACCACTTTTGCTTGAGTTTTTAATTTATTTAGAGGATTTTTGAGGGTTTAAGAATGAGGGAAGTATATTAGAAGGTTTGGGAAAATTGAGTTTTTGTAAAAATAATAATAATAATAATATTGTAGCGTGGTTATTGTAGCAACGCGCTGCACGTTGGAATTTGGGCACTATAGCATAGTTGCAACTGGAATTGCTTCGCTGTAGCACGCTACACCCGCGCTAGGTCACAATTTGTAGTAGTTTTTCTTAAAATTTGATATTTTTAACCCCTCTAATGCCCTAAACTCTCTTGAACTCTTAAAAACTATAAAACAAACATTTGGAGATTTCCTAGGGTACCCAAAATTCATCCAAAAATTTATAAGGATTAAAAATGAGGATAATTTTAAGGAAGGGTATTATAATGTTTTTTGGTTAGAAACATTGTTTTAAATGTTGGGGGAGCCTTTCTAGTGCTCATTTTCGCCCTTGAAGAGAGAGGAATAGAGGGAAAGAGGGAAATGGGAGAAAAGGAAGAAGAAGGTATGTAAAATGGTCAAATCTCAAACCCTTTTGATTTTTCTTCAATATTTCTACATGTTTAGCTTCCTCTCTTTGTTTTATAGCTTTTAATCAATATAGATTTTGTATTTTGATATTTTGTGTGTTGTAGAGAGAGAAAAAGCGGGTTTAACCGCCACCCATAGAATATTTTGCATAAATCTTGATATTTCTAGTTAAAGTATTCTTAGATATTGTTTTACTTGAAGATATTTATGTTTTCATGGTTGGATTAAAACTTGAATGAAGTGTTCATGGTTGAAATGTGAGAGAAATGGGTGAGAATGATATTCAAATGGGATAAGGGCGTGTTTGGTTGGATCTGAAAATGGGGAAAATGGAATAAAGGTATGTTTGGATATAACCAAAAGTTAGAAGGGAGGAAAAATTTTATTTATACGAGTTAGGGTATAGTTATTACTTTCATATGATGTAGTTAAAACATTTCTCTCATGTTTATGTATCTCTCTTATAGGAGAAGATACTCTAGTTACCTGAGACTTTGAACCTACAGATCTAGGAATACTCTTATAGACTCATTTTACACGGTGAGTGGGAATCTTCTAATTCTAGTTATTTTTTCAAACTATAATTTGCAATGAACAATGATCGTTTTAAACCCAATTATATGTTACTAGTATGAACATAGGAAACAGTCTAGCTATGATTTGATTTTGGTTATATGTTCAATTTGATGATTTTCATGAGTTTATACCATTTTGGTGCCTTAGCACTAGACCATAATGTCAGGCAGCCATCTGGGGCGGTGTTAGTTCTACTTGCATTACATGATATATGTATGTTTATTTCCCCAGTGAAAGAGATTATGAACCAAAGACTGTATTAGTTTGGCCAAGGAGTGGTGACCCTAGCACGGGCTACACAATATAATAGCGCCCTGACATCTTTATGTTTTGCTCAATGAGAGCCCATGTTATGTTTATGATTTTGCTACCCTCAGACACCTTCGGTTATGCACATTCAACCAGAGTATATATGTGAATATGTAATATGATTTTTATGATTTTTCTATGATATTCATGAAAACTTTTATGATTCATGCTTATACTCTCTTATATTTTATGACTTGCCACAATAACATTTAGCTTTTATACTGTTGAAAAATTATTATTATGCCTCATGACATGAAACTCTACGATAATGTTTATATTGTTTAAATAAATACAAAAACTAACTATTTTTACTAGGATTAGATGGATTACCATTCATTGGGATATTTGTCTCACCCACTAATTTTTCCCCCCTGCAGATACTGAGACATTAAGTTAGAATTTCGGTGTTTGTATTACTTGTGTTTTGCTCACTTTATAGCACCAGGTTGGCCAGACTACAAAGATTGTTTTGATTGTATTCTTTTTTAGATTTGGGATGCATATGTTTGGGAGACTCTTTTATATTTTGGATAATTGTAAATAATTTGTGATGTTGAGGTCTTATGGATGAATTACTGTTAGTTAAGCATATGTAATGAATTTGGGCATAGCATGATGTTAGATGATTATTGGAAATGTTGATACATGATGAATTATGCTTAAGTTATGGGTTGGATGGGTTATTGCAAGTTATGCATATGTTGTAAAGTTGTTGATTTTAAGTAGGTACTTAGACAAAAGGCCTTAAAGCCAACTTAAGAGGGGTTACAGTAGCCGCATGCTACGGATTTTACCCGGCGGTGTGTTGGTTATTGCTCACTGGCATGCTCCTTAAGTTTTGAGGTTGGGGTGTGACAATTTAAGTGGTATCAGAGCACAAAAAAAGTGATAAGGTCTATGTTAGAGAGTATTAGATTTTGGCTAAGAATTAGTGAATGAGAGACATATGCTAGAAATAAGTAATTGCATTCTAACATGAATAGGTATAAACCTTGTACGACCTTCATTGAGTCAGAACGAGTTAAGGTGAATAGACCAGAGACTAGAGGACTAGCCAACCTCATAGGTAGGCATTCAATGTCAAAATTTATACATATGAAGAGATAAAAACATTGCATTCTACATAATAAATTGCATGGCACCCGAGAACTAATCCAACTGTCTGCTTTTTAATTCCTAAGGTTGATGAATATGTTAGTTAAACTATGAGAAAATAAAGTATATGACAATAGATCTTGAGAGTTATATGGTTTAATAGTATTATTGATTAGTATAAATCAGAAGATGATTTAACAAGGGATGAATAAAATTTTGATCTTAATGCCAAAAAATGCTATAAAGACATTAGGGAATGAAGTATTGCCTAACGGCGCATGGGATAATTTATATTTATTTTTCAATATGATTAACCGCTAAGATAAGGTTTGAGGCGTTAAGGGTTATAGGTTTCAGATTCAATGAAGACTTGAAGACTTATGTTAGCTACAAGTTAGGAGAATTTTAGTTAATAGATTGTAGTGTAAATAAATGACTCAGAGATGAAATCCTAGCATGATTATTATCACATGAGTTTCAGTTACAAATTCTGTATCTTCAGGGAAATTAGGGAGACTTAAGAAATATCAGTAGATAGTCAAGGTTAAGATGAATGAACTTACCAAAGGAATAAAAGAATAGTAGAGTGATATTTTAAGTGTGACTTAAAAATATATGTTTTATGTGATAACTGCATAGATATGAATTTAGAGGATTTTAAAGGTAATTAGCATTTTTGAAGCATGGCTACTAATGGTTTAAAATTCATTTGAAAGATTTTTCAGATAATCCATAAAGGAAAAAGAAAAAAAAGTTATGATTTAAACCACATAAGGTGAATTTCAAGTAAATAATTGAAAGTTTATGAGAAATAAATGGATTGGTGCTTCACTCATTGAGTTGAGACTTTTGGGAAAACATGTAAATTAAAGATTTTGCAGAACATTGATAATAAGCTATTGGGGGAGTTAATTAATATGACCTTTAGAAGTGAATATTATGAGATAGTTTCTAAAGACATATTCTAAAGAAAGTTGGCAGGTTGAGCGAATGTGATTATTAAATTCTTGTGGCAATAATTGAAGGTAAATGAAAATGGTGGATTGATGAAATCAAATTAAAAATTCTACTCTTGTAGTGTAGAAAAAAAAATTAGTTGAAGGGTGATGAATTTTGAGTATTCTTCTAAATGTTAACATTTATTGTGGATATAAGAAAATGATATTGGGAGATAAGAGTCTAAGATCTATTACATTAGTGTATGAATTTAAGTATGAATCTAGTATTATGTTAGAAAGTTTGATTTAGTTATCACAAAATGTATAAGAGATTATTTTGAATTCTTATCCCTTAAGAATAAAATATATGTAACCAAATTTATTGAGCAGTTAGTAAATAGATAGGAATTTAATTTTGGAAAGTGTTATATGTAATTAAGAGTAGTGAGAATTGGAATAGTTGTAAAAGGATAGTCAAATTTTTTTTATGGTGTTTAGCAAGTATATGTGCATTGTTTACTAAGGTTGAATGATATAATTGGAATTTTTGGTTTTAAATTTTATCTTGGGACTTTGAATTTTAAATGAATTGGTAGCAATTTATCCATAACTAAGTTTTGTTAAAAGAGTTAAACTAATGTAAAAGAACTTTAACTTTTTAAGTTTTATTTGAATGTAATTAAAGATTAAAAGAAAGAAAAAAAAAGAAAAGAAAAGCTTAGAGCATGTCTGTTAGATGGATAAATTTTCACAAGG